CTTTCCCATCTAGCCCCTTAAACTTCCCTTGGGAGGGTAAAAACTTCAGAACGCTGCCAAAGGGCGCTCTAACAGATACAAGGACTTGAGCCAGGGTCCTGGTGCCATCCCTGGGGAAGGACATTTGTCATCGGGGGAGCTTCATCCAAAGATATAACTATAAAGGTGGAAATCTCAGGCGCTGCGGTGGGAAGAGCTTTCTGTGACCCTCCAGATAACGACGTTCACATTTTGGCAGGGGGACGCCTTGACCTGGGGTGAAAAATTACAGTGCCTTCCCTCCCTCCCTTCCTTTCTTCCTTTCCTCCTTCCTTCCCTCTTGTCAAGAGAGGTAGTGAGGTTGACTCTACCGGTCACTAGCTCTGCGATCTTGGACAAATTCCCTATCCTTTTGTGTATCGTCCCATCTGTGAAGTGGAGAGAATAATAGGATTATTATTATCCTGCCTCATGGAGTCTTTGTGAGGATTCAATGAGCTAACACCTGTCAAGCCTTTAGGACAGTCCCGGCACAGAGTAACCCTTCAAACATATTTGCTCTTATTATCAATTCTTTCTAAATGAAGTACCTACTCCACAGCAGGTCCTGGGCAACAGGGTGACGAAGTCAGCCCCAAAGGGTCTCGTGAGGAAGACAATTTAGAGCACAGTTATTCAACCTGTTTCCAGGAGACCACAATTTTATGTTCTCCTTTTTCTTCACTACAGTAGAAGAATCTGGCCTATTTTACGTCGGGAGGCAAGCCCTCTTCCAGGAAGCTACTCATGATTGAGTGCAGGCAAATATGTCGTTTCAGTGTGAGAGAGGTGGAAGGAAGGAAGGCAGAGGCAGGTTTCTGAAAACTAATGATCTGGGCGCTGATTTTAATGGCTCACAAGACCTAGTGGGGAAGAAAAGAGAAGGATGAGGACGGGGATAAAACAGAGGTGCTGGCACAGAGTAGAGTGGGGCCTGGGGCCTTGGATGGACGTCCACGAAAGGGGTTCCAGGAGGGGGGGTGGACGAGAGCAGGAGCCCACGCTCAGTGTGCTGTTAGCCCACAGGCCTCACCAGCAGACTGCACACCTTCTCTGGAGCAAGTGCAGCTGGTTGGTTAAGAGCATGGACTCTGGAGCCTGACTGTGGGTTCAACCGTGCATCACACTCACTGGCTGTGTCAGGCTGTGTCTTCCAAAGATGGCCGCAGCCCACCCCACGGGCTCTTCTCACAGTGTCACTGGCCCTGCGCCCACGGAGAGGGGTGTCTATGCTCCCTCTCCTTGAATACAAGCAGGGCTTGTGACAGCCTGACCCAAGGAGCAGGCAGAGGGGATGCTGTGTGACTCCTAAGGCCCCATCCTGAAAAGGATCTGGGTTCCACCTGGCAATCTCCCTCTCTCAGGACACTTGCCCTTGGAACCAAGCCACCGTGCTGTAAGGAAGCAGAGGCCACACGGGGAGGCTGCATCCAGCTGACAGTCCTGGCTAGCGTCTGTCACCAGGCATGTGAGGGAGCAGCCTTCAGATTATTCCAGGCCCCAGCTTTCTAGGCTTCCATCTGAGGCCCCAGAGAGCAAAATATTGCCCATCTTCTTTTACTTTGCTTTCCCATCTAGCCCCTTAAACTCCATGCTCCAGAGAGCATGGAGCAGAGACGAGCTGTCTCTTCTAGGCCCTGTTCAAGCTCCTGAGCCACAGAAACTGTGAGAGATAATAAATAATTCTTGTTGTTTTGAGCTGCTCAATTTGGGGGCAATTTGTTACACAGCAGTAGGTAACTAATATACTAGTTATGTGACCTCAAGCAAGTTATGTAACTTCTTTGTACACCTTAGTTTCCTTCCTTATTTATAAAATGGAGTTAATAACAACATCCAGTGTGCTGATGAATCAGCTCTCCAAAAAAAAAGAGAAAAAAGAAGGCATGATTTTTTAGCATTTGCTGATTTCTGTGGTGTAAATACTCCCAAGCAATCAATGGTTTAAAAGCCAGATGGTCAAATTTCTAAATATTTAACATTCAGCTCTCATGAACCGGTATGGCCACCTCCAGCACACTACCAAAACATGGACCTCATGGCAGCAGATGATTTGATATCCGTAAATAATGTAGACATAGCGCGGAGTAAGTGCTGTGTGTTTGCTATTAAAATTCCTGCTGCTGCCGTTGTTGTTGTTGTCACATGCACCCCAGTTGATCCGCAGATCTCTGCAGCCTTGCTCCTTCTACAGGGGGCTTCCCCAGTGCTGGCCATGCCACCTCTGACAGACCAGGAGAGCTCTACCCTCCAATGCCATGAGCCAAAGGGGGCCCTGGGCAGCCTTTGTGGGGGTGGAGGGCTGGTGTGCAAACCTTTCCCACCTGTACTTGTTAGGGAAGCCTGAACTGGGCAGACGTGAGAGCCTTGAGTGGGGCAGTGGTCAGTGACTCCGCATCACACGGACCACGCCACACAGACTGGGAGATGCTCAGATGGGCTAAGCTTGGGGTGCTACGGGAACCCACAGGAGGAGCTTCTATCCAAGTCTTCGGGGGCCATGGAAAAGGTCGCAGAGGAGGTAGAATGGGAATTTCCCAGGTGAAACAGAAAGGGAAGGGAATTCCAGGTGGAGGGGCTAGCTCGAACAAAAGCCTGGGGGAGAGAAAACGTTTCACTTCTGGGGCTCTGCAAAGCCGAAAGTGGGAAGCATGTAGAGTGACAAGTTCAAGGGCATCCTATAGAACTCTTCAAATGTCGATGTTATGAAGGAGAAAGGGAGGCTCAAATACTGTTTCTGATTAAAAGAGACGACACAAACATGATAACTAAAGGCAGGGCGCCGTCCTGACCTGGTCCTGAATGGGGAGGAGCTGCAGAACTACAAAGACAGCATAGGGACAATGGCGACATTTCCGTATGGGCTATATGTTGAATAAAGAGCTTATTAATATTAAATACAATCCCATTTTCTCCTGCATAAGAGAATGACCTTGCTTTTAGGAAATTCATGCTGAAATAGTAGAGGTGAAGGGGTATGATGTCTACAATGGGCTCTCAAATGTTTCAGGGAAAATTCTGTTTATTTAGACAGAGGGAGTGATAAATATGGCACAATATTAGCAGTGGGAACTGGGCAAAGGGGCCAAGGGAATTCCTGCTTCTGTTCCTGTAATTCTTCTGTGAGATTAAAATGATTTCAAAATAAAAAGATTTCTTAAATGAGGGGAGAAAAAGGAAGTGTAGGCTAAGAGTCAGGGAGGGAAAGAGAGAAGTCTGGAAGGGAGGCTGCTCACTGGATTGGAAGGGGCATCTAGGTGGGAGGGCTCAATGGCTGGCGAGGTCAGTGAGCAGTTAGCATGGGCTTCATGCCCGTGACTCTTACTTCTGAGGCCCGAGTCTTGGCCCTTTCTAGTAAACTGGAGGGTCCCGGGAGGGACGTGTGTGTGTGTTAATATACGGCGTCTGCCATGGAGAAGACCTCAGGGGTGTAATTTCTGCTTGCTGTGCAGGAGTTACCCACAGAGCTCCTGTTATTTCAGGTTATCCTTAATGGGAGTCGTGCCCTGAATTCCCCGTGCACTGCCCTGAAATTTGCCCCATATGTTTGTAAAGGTTGATTACATCTTTGGGACCTTTTTCTAATGTGAGCAGAAGCTATAAAGTTTCAATTGTCACAGCTCATTGGGATCAAGTGTCTTTTCTCGTGTGCCATAAAAGGACTCTGCATCTGATATCTGATGTCAAACCAACATGCACGCACAATCTGTTGATTTCAGATGACGTGTAGTGCCATCATCTCTGAGACAGGAAATTAGGAGCAAATCTTTTCAAAGGAGAACAACTCAGGGAGCTCCTGGCTAACTATGGGACGAGAATTAGAGAGGAGTCTTCACTCACACATGTTTTAGGCAGAAGTGTAAATTGACACAGCTGCTTTGGGAAATGATTTGAAAGCACCTAATAAAGACTATTTGCTGAATGAAAGCCCTTCAGTGTTTGTGCACTTATCTAAGAGAAATGCATGACATGCCCACCTAAACACATGCACAAAAATATTTATAGCAGCTTTCGTAATAATGGCCAAAAACAGAAACAACCCAAATGTCCATCAATACTAGAATGGATAAACGAACCGTGGTATAGTCACACATGGAGTACTACAGAGCAATGAAAAAGAATGAAATACTGAAATACACCACAACGTGGCTGAATCTCATGGTCACACGGACACAAGAGAAAGGTATTCTGTGTCATCCAAGTTTTTGAAGTTTAAGGACAGGTAATGTGAATCTGTGATGATAGAGGTCAGAATAGTGAATATTAAGCGGTGTTGATGGGGAGGGGGCATGAGGGAGCCGTCTTGGGTGCTGGAAATGTTTGCTCTCTTCATCCGGGCGGTGATTACGCAAGTGAGCCCTTAGTTGTATGTAAATTATACTTAATAGAAAAATAAAGAAAAAAGGGAGCTCCTTTCCAGCCATAGGGTTGCCTTGAGGGGCTGCAGGATGAGCCATCCCAACAACCACGCCTGATAGTAGCAACCTGGGGTTCGTGGTATTCTCAGGCCCCATTGGAAGATAGCCAGTCCCATGTCCTCTTGTTGCTATGTGCTGGGTAATAGTCAGCAGTCACCCAAGACTTGGTCAACGCTGGTGTGCCAAGCCAGTGGCCTCAGGACTGCTTCCACCTGGAAGACAGAGGCTGAGCCCACTCAGACTCCAGCGTGTCCTGTTCAAATGCAGATTCTGATCCAGTAGGTCTTACATGGGGCCTGAGAATCTGCCTTTCCAATAAGTTCCCAGGTGATGCTGATGCTATTAGACCAATTTTGAGCATCAGGGAGGCAGACAGGCCAGGATGAGAATCTTGGTTCTGCCACTTAGGAGCTCTGTGACCTTTGTCAAATTCCTCCATCTCTCTGAAGATCTCTCCATTTCTTCTGTAAATTTCTGGAAGGGAGGGATAGGTGAGACAAGCGTCTCCCAGACTGGTGTGGGTTCAATGGGGTAATACACAGAAAGAGCTTGGCATGGGGCCTGGCCTGCAGTAAGCATTCGTTAATAGTAGCTCTTGTTGTATTTATTATTTTTCATAAAGAAGAAGGTTTGGGTCACGATTTGGAGAAAGGTGAGTGTGGTTTGTAAGGGCGGGAACAAGCGAACATTGATTTCCCCGGTAGCCTGTTGAAGGAGGACATTTATTCTCACTTCTTTCCACCTTCATCCCATAATCCTTCCTTTGGTCTCCACCATCAAGATAGATTTCCTCTTCACTCTTCTTCCCACTCCGATCCACCCCAAATCTAGTAAAGACGGAAGAACTCAGGCAGAACTGAAGCCTGAGGCCAGGCAGGTTGTCAGATTGTCAGATTGTGCCCAGAGGTGATGTCTTTGTTAAAGAAACATCCTCCCCACTTGGCTCTTTCTAGAGGGGCAGGATTGGCCCCTGGGAGTCGAGGTCCGCGGCTGGGTCTCCAAACGTGCCCACACTCAGCTGCCCTCTTTGGAATCCGCCTCTGCTTCTCCGTGCACAGGGGCCCCTCTGGAGGAAGACATATGTTCCTCAATCTGTGGGGCTGTCAGTTGGTATCTTTTTCAAGAACCGAATTAACTTATCGTCAGAAAGGGAGAAATGAGAAATGTTTGGTCCTGTGTTGTCTGGAGGGTAACTGGCCTGGACTGGGTCTGGGTCTCAGGTTGCCCCTCTTTATCTGGAGGTGAGGGAGCCGTTTGATTGGAGCCTGGGGTAGACCCGAGGCAGGGGGACCTCTCAGTCACAGCTTAGTTTAATTCCATGAAGGGAAGTTGTGTTTACTGAGGGCCATGCACAAGACCAGCCACAGAAGGCTCACAAATAACCGACCAAATAAACAAACAAAGGCACTCACAGCAGAGCAGAGAGACAGAAAAAGAAGCAAGTATAGCACCCTGAGGGAAATGCTGAGGGGAGGGTGTGTATGGACCCCACGGGAGCATGGGGAAGGGGGAAGACAGGAGAGGTGGGCTCACCTGTCTTCAAAGACGGCCTCCCAATGAGCCGCACTTCCTGGGTTCACACCCCTGTGTAGGCCCGCCCCATGTTGAATCTTGGCTGGCCTGTGTGACCTAGAGAAGTCAGTGGAAATGGCCCCGTGTGACCTCTGAGGCTGGGCTGTAAAAAAAAAAACCTTGTAGCTCCCACCTTGGTCTCTTGCAGCATATGCTTTGGGAGAAACGAGCTGTCGTGTAAAAAATGTCATGACCATGCTGAGACCACCGTGCTGTGAGGAAGCCCAGTTTGGCCCTGTGAGGGCATCACAAGAAGACAGACGGAGAGGTACCCGCCGAGCAGCCAGTTGTTCCATCCGTCTCAGCCTAGCAATGAACAGGTGCGTGGAGGGGCCATCTTGGCTGTTCAGCCCAGGTGGCCTTCAGACAGCCTCGGTCTCGGTCATGGACTGCAGCTGCATAAGAGACCCCAACTGAGAACCACTCAGTTGAGCTCAGGCAACCCACAGCAGCTTGGGTAACCACGAACAGTAATAACAAATTGTTGCTTTGAGCGGCTAAGTTTGGGGTGGTTGATGACACAATGACAGATTGCTGGAAGAGAAGAGAATCTCACAGGGAGGACACCTGGGCAGGGAGCTGAAAAGCAGATTGCTAGATGAGCGAGCGTGCCATGGAAGGTACATCTTGAAAACCCACAGAGAAAGGAGAAGCAGAATGGGCTCTTGAGGAATTAGGAGCAGTTAAATATTAATAGAGAGCAGAAGGCCAGGCAGGGAAAAGTGCGTGATGAGCCGGGAGAGGTGGGCAGGGGCCGGAATCAGAGATTCAGTGCAAGGGGTTAAGTGACGCACCGTGTGGTTTGCGGGAGCTTTGTATTTACTTACAGCTTTGAGAGGTGGCGATGTGCACGTCCTCTAGAAATCTCTCCTGGCTGCGGCTGTTATTGTCCCCGGCAGCTGCAGTAGGAACCACTCCAAAGGCTTGGTAAAAGCTAGCACTCAATGGCCTCCTTGGCTCAAAGAAACAGGGGAAAGGGTTAAGCACTATTCACAGCTCTCCAACTGCTCGTCCCAAGTCTGGGAAATGTTATGTGCCTGAGAAGTCCTAGATTCTATTTTATTTTATTTTATTTTACAGGAAGATTAGCCCTGAGCTAACTACTGCCAATCCTCCTCTTTTTGCTGAGGAAAACTGGCCCTGAGCTAACATCTGTGCCCATCTTCCTCTACTTTATATGTGGGACGCCTGCCACATCATGGTGTGCCAAGAGGTGCCATGTCTGCACCCGGGATCCGAACCGGCGAACCCCAGGCCGCCGAAGCGGAACGTGCGCACTTAACCGCTGCACAACCGGCCGGCCCTCTAGATTCTATTTTAGCAGCAGCCAGAAACCACTCTTTGAACAAAGTCCCTGCCCACCGGACTTGGGGAATGTGTGATTTAATTTATACTAACAGCAGGCCAGGTTTCCCTGAAGTCTGGGGTGTCTCTCATTTGTGTCTACTTTCCTCTCTAACTCCGGCTAAAAAGGGAAAAGCCAAAGGGAGGGTGACCCCCACAGCTGCTGCTTTCCCTCTACTGTCCCATCTACTTATTTTCTCCAGCCTCCACTTTCTCTACTGTGAAATGGGAACAATAATGTCTACCTCACTATTGACTTGAGACAATTAAATGAAATACTGAGGGTCAAGTAAGCAGCCCAGAACCCAACCACAGGGCACACTCAGCGAATGCAGGCTATCATTAGTATCATCCTTGTCTTGGTGCGCTGGTTGCATCCTGAGCCTGCTCTTGGGGTATGAGATACAAGACAAATGAGCTGTCCACGGCCGACATCGCTAACGGACCGGGTCGCTCTTTGCCCCAGTATGCAGACGGCCTCTCAGTCTCCAGCAGCCACTAAAATTAATTAATAGCTAACGTTTCTTGAGATCTCACTATGCTATAAATGAGTTTTTTCCTTTAATCCTCATAAAAATCCTGCACCCTGGGAAGGTTTTATATTTGCAGAAATTGCGGTGGAGTAAGGGGAACTTGCCCAAAGCTTTGCAGCCAGGAAGCGCCCTGGTGGGAATCGGAACACTCCAGAGCCTGCGGCCTAACTACTGCCCCGCACTGCCTCCCAAGGGAGTCTGCCCTGGAAGGGAGCCCCACGGGACGGAAATGGGTACCACCTCTCATCGTTCTCAGAAACTGAGATAACTATACCTCGCCTTTGCTTAGGCATAGCCCCTCAGTTAGCATATCTGGTGACTTTGTCTGTCCCTCCTAAGTCCAAGTGTAAAAGAAATGAAACGAAGGATCCTGTTAATCCTGGTTCCCCGTGATTATGACGAGGAAAATCTCAGATAACTTCATTCCTTGTCCTGAGGTTTTGAGGAGTGATGTGGAGCTTACGATAGAAAATAAGCCCAGTGAGCACAGGGCTTCTGTGTTCCTTACCACTGTGTTCTCTGTACTGAGAGCAGTGCCTGGCCCATAGCAAATGCTCAATAAATATTTACTGAATGGTGCAGGGTCGACTTCTCCATTAGGGCCAATAGACACGGTGCCAAGGGCCCAGATACTGTTAAGGGCCCATGATAATGGAACTTTAACATCTTTTAAAAACAGAAGAGAAAGATAAATATAATAGTAAAAATGTAATAAAGAATCCAGTCTAGATTATATTCGTCCTTATACCAATGTAGTCAGAGCGCATAGTTTTTAGTATTTTTGTGTGTGTGTGTGTGGAGGAATGGCCCATGAGAGTGCTAATGCAGCCCTGAATGGGTGAGGATTGTGTGTAAATACTCAGAGTCTGGTGCAGGGTGGAACTTAGACAAGGTTCATTTCCTTCCATCTGTACCTTGGGAAGCTGAAGTGCAGAGCGGGCCTTTGTGACACCACACACACACACGGTGGCTCAGTCCTTTCATGCCCACAGGCTCTTCTTCCCTCCCCACACTGCTAAGGGGCAATGCCACGTCCCAGGGATCTTCTCTCCCATGTGCCACAGCTGATGGGACCAGAGTGTAGTCTTAACTGAGGACAGCCAATAGGAGCTGCTCAGGGGCAGGAAACGCTGTCCAAGAGGTGCTACCATGAGCAGTGGCCAATCCACAGGGATTTGAAGTAGAAATAGGAGGGAAGAATTAGTAGATAGTGAGAGGAGAAACTAGAGAAGACATGGAAAAATGGAGACAGAGTCATTGAGTTGTGGGAATGGTGGAATGGAGTGAGGACCCATCAACTCTCACTGTGCATAGTCAAGCTCTTTGTCTTCAAAAGAACAATAGTCCAGGAGAAGGTTGAGAAGGAGAGAGGATGTGGGGCCAACAACAGGCAGTTGACAGGAAGAGAGAAGCTGGTGAGGAGCTGTGTAGGAGCGCCGAGAAGCGGCTCCAGTTTGCCAGGTTGTGGTAAGACTGAGCTTCAAAAGGTTTGAAAAAGGCCAGATGGAGGAGGGCCCGCAGGGTAAGCAAGACATGAGGGTTGTTCTCTTCCCCACAGACAATGGCCGAAATGGGAAGAAAGGTGCACAAAGCGGTGTTTAAGAAGCTTCATCTGGTGGCTTAACCAGCAGGAATTTGCCATAGAGAGTGAGGAGGCAAGAGGCTATTTTTACAACAGTAGGAGAAGGATAACCGAGTTTGAACTTGGGTGGTAGCATGGCGGACGGAAAGTAAGCCACATTGAAAAGGAAGACTGCCCGGGAGTAATTAGACACAGGCGGGACGGGAAGCAGCCGGAGGAGCCTTCCGTGATCAGGTCCAGAAAAGTGCTCGGAAGCACCAGGTAACAGTGGCAGAGATCCCTGGTTGGCCACAGCATCCTTTCGCCCCTTCTTTAGTATAAAAGCTGAGAATTTTAAGCTGGGCACATGGTTGCCCAGGATAGACACTCTCTTCTCCAGCCTCCCTTGCACGGGCCCGTCTCCCACGGAAACGGGTCTGCGCCAGTATCCCAGCCTGCCGGTCACCAGCTGGGAGCAGCCGTGGCAAGAGTGGTCTTGGTCACAAGATGGCGGTGGATTCAGAGAGCAGCAGTGGGGCGTCAGTCAGTGACCGCTTCACAGCAGGAGATCTGGGTGGAGCAGTTTCATAGCTGCCACATGCTTCTGTTCTTTTCATTTTGCTTGCTCTGTGCTGGTTCCATGCTAGGCAGGCTCTCCCCTAGTGATGAGAAAATGGCCGCCACAGCTCTGGTATCATATCTGACTGGTAAACCAATGGGAAACAGCATTTGCCTTTTTCCCGGCAGCCCTAGCAAAAGTCTCAGTGCGGCTCGTTGGTTCTAACTGTGCCATGTGCCCACCTCTGACCCAATCACTGTAAGGAGAGAAATATGGCTTGCTGATTGGCTGAGGCCTAGACCACAAGTTCCACTCCAGAAGGAGAGGTGATGCTCCAGCCAGACTCCACTGTCAGAGAGTAGGGAGATGGGTGCGCCATCTAAAATGGAAGAGGCAGGAACTGATGCTGGGGAAACAGCAACAAAACATCCTCAGTAATAGTAGTCAATGTCCTCATCCTTATTTCATTCTAGAAACCTGTTTTCAGAAAGAGTTTTGCTGAGTTACTTCTGCAGAGCACACAGTGAGCAATGCTGCGTGTTAGAAATATAAGAAGTATATTATATCTGCATAATTACACCTTCTGGTTATTCTTTGCAAATGGGTCATTAGAGTTAGGGATGTTAGCAAAGAGAAAAAAATAGTCCGAATTAAATGGGGTCACACGGTTGGTGGAAACATCAGGTTGCCCTTTCTTGATATATTCTGTTCTCTTAGAGATTTCGTTACAAAACAGATGCAGAACTTGCCAGACTGTATGTATTTTTAAGAGAAGAGATAATGGGAGCCCATACACTTCCCCACAGCGCCCTTAATCACTTTTCCATTGCAGCCTGGGTGCCCCTGTAGTCTCCGGATAGGAATCCATTAGGGGTCTTAATTATCCTCTTAGTACAGATGACGCCCTATGGGAAAAAGGTCATGCCCTTCCCCTCCCACCTTGCTCTAGGGGTTAATACCCAGAGGGGAGAGAAAGAAGCAATTTGGATCCAGCAGTTGCGAGCCAGTGGGGCTAGGTGGCCAGTATTTAAAAATATTATGTCCTAGGCATGTGTGAAATTACATCTTCCTTGATTCTGAAGAGATATATGAGAATAAAAGCATATTCAAAAAAATCATGACAGTGAATTGTACTTAGCAGACTCTTTTAAAGTTTACAAAAGACAAATAGTACCATTCTTAATGTTCTATAATTTCCGCTCAGAAGAAATAATAAGATTATCAGTGATAAGAAGAAAAAAGGTAACGGCAACAGCTGTCATTTATGGAGACTTCTCTATGTGTCAGGCACTCTAAGTACTTTATATGCATTATCGTGTTTAACATTCACAACCATTCAATGGGGTAAGTAATACTTTGTTCCCATTTTAAAGATGAGGAAATTGAGGCTCAACAAAATTAAGGGGCAAGGTCAAGACCACGTAACTAGTAAGCAATAGAATCAGAATTTGAATTCAGGTTTGTATAATTTCAATATAATTAATTGTATTAATTATGTGCCACCTTCCACTTGATGGACTCTTGTCTCCACCTAGCACGGCTGTCTCATAGGGATGCTGGGAGAATGAAATGCATTAATATGTATGAAGACATTAGATACACCCTACCTGCAGGGTCTGGCCCATTGGAACCTGTGGGTTTCCTTTGGACTAAACTTTTTCTTTATTATTATCATCTTTAATTAACGTAGAATGACATTGCCAAAGATCTCTGATGCTCATGTCTGCCTTGAGCTGCCAGACCAGCACTAGTGACACGTACCAGGGTTTTACCAGCTCCGGGCCCCGCTCATAAGTCAAGATGCTGACTTCTGGGGCTGGTCCCGTGGCTGAGTGGTTAAGTTCACGCGCTCTGCTGCAGGCGGCCCAGTGTTTCGCTGGTTCGACTCCTGGGCGCAGACATGGCACTGCTCATCAAAACATGCTGAGGCAGCGTCCCACAAGCCACAAGTAGAAGGACCCACAATGAAGAATATACAACTATGTACCGGGGGGCTTTGGGGAGAAAACAGAAAAAATAAAATTAAAAAAAAAAAAAAAAGATGCTGACTTCTTGCAGAATCTTCTCCTAGCAACCATTCATAGAAGCCATCAGGGTGTTGCACACATGCTCGTGAATGTGACCAGTCAGTGCCTCACGGCATAAGCCGTCTTACGTCCCTTCCTCTGCTCTGGTCCCCTTTTTCTGGGCACCCGCGGTGTACCAGGTACCGTCACTGCTTCTTCCAGGAAGGGTGCACCTGATGGAGGGTGCTCTCGCTTCTCTCGTTTGCTGGTGGCTTCCAAGGAACCAAAGCTGCTCTGTGTTCAGGAGTCCTCAAGGGGCCAAATGGAAGTGCGGAGTGTAATAATCTGTCAGAGGGTGAAGACTCTGGGTAAGATTTTTGGGGTGAACATCACAGAAAAGTACACAAATCATAAGTGTCCAGCTCCATAAATTTTTCATAAAATGAACCCCCCCTGTAACCAGCACTGAGAGAAACAGAACCTTCCCAGGACCATAGAATATTCCTTGTGCCCCCTTCCGCTTAGCAAGGGTACCCTCCCTCCAAGGGTAGCCGCTACCCTGCTTCTAACTCTAGATTCATGTTGCCTGTTTTTGAACTTGACATAAGTAGGAACCACAGAACATAGACTTTTAAAAGTCTGATTTCTTTTGCTCAATATTGTGTTTGTGAGATATATTTCTATTAATGAGTGTAGCTGTAGTTTATCATCCTTATTTCTGCGTAGTATGCCATTGTGTGAATGTAACACAGTTTAGTTATCCATTCTACTGTAGATGGATATTTGGGTAGTTTCCATTTTTGGACTGTTATGAATGGTGCTCCCATGATGTTCATGTCTTTTGGTGAACATATATATGCAAATGTATGCATTTCTGTTGGATATGTGTGTATGTGTGTGTATAAATGAGTGGAATTCTGGGTCATGGGCTGTGCATATATTCAGTTTTAGTGGATACTGTCAAACTTAGTATCCACTAAGTTTGATTGTTTGTCCCCTCTAAGTTTGGCACGGCTTCCAAAGTGGTTTACCAATTTACACTCCCCTTGGTGGTACAGGAATTTGGAAAACTTTGTCTAGTATTAGGGATTTTTGCTTTCGTTTCTGTCCAGGGGTCCCCAAAATATCTAAATTCTGCCCCAGACCAAACCGCTGCTCTCCATCAGCCTCTTGAGTGCTGTGTATCAGTCAGAGTTTGTGGTTGCAAGCAACTGAAATCAACTCTAGCTAACACGTAGGATATGCTCACAGAGTGATGGAAGGCAATTCTCTAAAAGGAAATCTAGATGACATTAGAATGGAATATGGATTCTGGGCCAAAGGATAAGACTTGGCTATGGGCAGGAACCAAGGCCACTTAACAGGCTGGCAGCATGAATGACACCAGCAGTGTCTAAGCAGGTATTGTGTTCGCATACCGCTCTGCATCGAATGGCCTCACTCTCGATCCTTCATTATGCACTGGTCCAGGAAAGAAAAGCCAATTGACTTTGCTTACACAACGGGCCTGTTCTCTGGCCACGCTGGGGTAGGGAGAGAGAGTGTCTGTCCCTTTGAGTCCTGTAGTGGGAGTTGGTCACCAGGAATCTCCCTACATCAAGGAAAAGATAATTCCTCCAAAGGAAATATGACTAGAATGGAAAATGGATACTGGGCAGCCAAAAAATGATGGCTATCCACCAGTCGAAGAGAGATATCTGAGCAAGGAATAATGGCCAATAGGAAGCAAAGTCACGCTTTTTGGTAGCTGGGGCTCAGGCTCCAAATGCAACACAGACAACTCCAGTGGTTCCACTGGACCACATGGAACACCTTCTTTTTTCTAAACTGGTGTATTAGTTCCCTAGGGCTGCCATAAAAAAAAAAAAAAATGGTCACAAACAGAGCAGCTTAAAACAACAGAAATTTGTTCTCTCGTGGTTCTAGAGGCAGAGGCCTTAAATCAAGGCCCTGGCAGGGCCACGCTCCCTCTGATGGCCCCAGGGGAGAAGCCTTCCTTGCCTCCTTGCCTCCTCCTAGCTTGTGGAGTTGCTGGCAATCCTGGGCATTCTTTGGCTAGTAGCCGCATCCCTCTGATCTCTGCCTCTGTCTTCACGTGGGCTTCTCCCCGTGTGTGCCTCTGAGAGTCCTGTCCTCTCCTCTCCTTATGAGGACACCAGTTACTGTCCTGGGGTCCACCCTAATCCAGTATGACCTCATGTTGACCAACTACAGCTGCCAAGACCCTATTTCCAAAGAGGTTTCCATTCTGAGGTTCTGGGTGGACGTGAGTTTTAGGGGGACACTATTTAGGTTCAACTGTTTAGCTTTCAAACCAGAGCAACTGGTGAGCTCTGCTCCTTGAATCCCCCCATCACTTGCTGGACCCAAGTCTGATATTTTCTGCATCCTGGCTATATGGAGGAAAGGAAGATAGGAATACAATCATGTCCTGATCTCTTGATGCATTATAACCCCCCTTTATGGCAAACCTGATCCCATCGGATCCTGGAACTGACCGATTGGATGGGACACCTCAGTGGTTAAGGTCAGAGGCTGGCATCAGACCTCCCAGCTGCCAGACCTGGTTTGACCTGTTTGCTATCTGGGTGACACTCTTTGATCCTTGGTTTCCTCCTCCAGGAAACGTAGTTAACGAAGGAAAAGTGCTATTTCATAAGGTTGTGCTAGTAGAAGTTCAATGAGAAAATGGAACTAATTCTTAGCACAGTGCCACGGACAACCTGAACACTGACTCAGCGTCCTTAGGACTAATTCGCGTCTTTCCTGAGGGGAGCAGCGACAAGACCGGAGGCTTAAAAACCCCCTCAGAGAGGCCTCACCGAGTTTTCAGGAGACCTTGTTTTATTCCCTCACGGCCCTTACCTTCTCCTCCCCCCTCCCCGAGTACTGACACAAGTCCACGGGACGCCAGGCTGGAATATAAAACCTAAGAGCAGACCTCATGGTCTCGGCGCCCTCCTTAACAATTGACGCTTTGTTATGGGGCCAAACTTAAAGCTCCCAGCTCTGTTGTCCCTTCGGGTGGGTCCTTTCCCAGAGGCTCTCAGAGCCCACGTGCAAATAGACCTCCAGGGGCGCATCCCATCAATTTACTAACCACACTCAGACAGGGCTGGGGCTCAGGTTGGGGTCACCGCCACGCCCACTAACAGCTAAACTCCTGGCTCTGTTACCCCTCCAGCT